GGCAAACGCGAGGGCAGCTATGGAAAAGGATATCGTAGAGCTTTATATTCAATTAAAAGAACTCGCGATCACGCCACACGCTCGGCGCAGCGTGGCTCATCGCGCCGGCGCCAGCGTGTGGACTCAGAGCTTGATGTGAGGAACGGAACATAGCCGCGTCGCGGCTGACCCAAAGTGAACCAGCTGTACAAATTGAAATTGGGGAAAATTTTTAAGCGCTGGTTGTGGAGCAGGTTGCGTGTAATAATAATAATAAGCGCGGAGGGCATAAGCTAGCTGCAGCGTTGGCTGCTGAGCCTCGGCTTGTGCAGCCTGGCCGTCCGTCGGGACTGTACGAGCGCCACCGCCAGAGAAAGTGAGGTACAGCGGGGAGAGGGGAAGGAGAGGGGGGGGGGCTGACGGGGAAGCGTCAACGTCGCGTCCGCGGCAGGAGCCAGGCCGGCGGAGTGTAAACGCTCGGTTGGTTAGCGTTAGCACGCCAGTGCCCCGCGCTGATCATATGGCCCGATTATGGCCGCTGCGTTCGCTTCGCCCGCCCTGCGCTGGCTGCTCCTGCGCGAGAGTCGCAGAGTGTGTTACGACCCGTGCGACCGTGAGGACCGCCAAGTTTTGGCCTCTGCGCCGCCACGGTCAAGTGACCCACACAAAAGGCCACCCCGGCAGTGGCCTCCTGCCGCGGGCGGGGCTTGGCGCGGCCGGACTCGGCAGGACGGCTCAAGTTCACACCGGTTCGCACTGCAACGCGAGCGAGCGAGCGAGCACGCGCCGCGCCCGGCACAGGCACGGCCCAGCTCCTCCTCTGCAGCCGGTGTTTGTGCGCCGAGTTAAGCCCTAGGGAACGAGAAGGGGGGTGGAGGGGGAGAGGCAGGGCGTCCTCCTGGGCGGCTGGACGACGCGGACGATGAGATTTGATTCGATTCACTACGGCAAGCTAAGTATAGCCGGCCTGAACTAGCCGCTCCGACACAACACACAGCAGACCGCTGCTGCCGCCCCCCTAACCCCCTCCCGCGGGAAGACGAAGACGCTGGCATCTCAGCTCCAGCAGCTCCAGCAGCCCCCGCCCGCGCCCTCCTGGTAGGCTAGGCTGTGCAATACGATATCGATTGGATTCGATATGTCGTCGGTACTATCGAAGCATGTCGTGGGTATCGAGCAAACCGACAGATACGATATCGCAATATCGAGAAATACCGCGCCTTGATACTTCCGCGATTTGCTCTGGTACATCGGTATCCGATATCCGGGTCCGGGTCATATCTGAATCTCCGATAGTAAGTTGTTATCGTTTCGAAGTCGATGTAATATACCGCACGGGGCACGCGGCCCCAATTCAAGGTCAGCGATACGCGGCTGCGTAGATGAAGAGCGCAAGCAAGATGTTGACGGGGGGACGCGGACGGGAGGGGGGGGGGGCACGGTCAAAATCAAAACACGAGTCCTTGCAGTCCCAGTTGTGGTGCCTTTGTCTCCGCGCCGCTGCCGGGCGCTGCCCACGGGCGTGGGAAGGCAAGGGCTCGGCGGCGAGGTGGGTGACCCAGTGCGCGGCCCGCGGCCCCCGCGCGGCTCCACGCGGCTCGCACGGGCTGCAACACGGGCTACACCGAGAGAAGGGGGGGAAGAGAGGCACGACCCGATCGACATCCGCGGCCCGCGGACGAGGAGTCGCGGACAGCCTGCCGCACCGCCGCGCAGAGACAACGAGC